AATATGTTTTAAATTCATATACCTCTACATCATGGAAGCCGACTTCTATACTCTTGATTTCGGATGACCATTTTCTTTCCTTCATCCTTTATTGTGCTTCTTGTTTTGAAGGTTGACAAATCATGCATGTCCAAGAATGAATAGACCCATGATGGGAGAGAAGATTGAAGAGCACAATAAGCTACTGGTAATTGTATTTCTAGTGTTTGTATTCCAAGTTAACGATGTATATATAGTGGGTATAGGGTACAACTGGAGAGTTGCGTCTCGATACGATAACCTTCAGCTTTTAATGGCCGCTTTTGGATATCGTTTCGAGTGACTAAACAACAGAGATGCATTGCACATATATTATTTCCTTTCACATTTACACTGTCATAATATAACCTAGATCTTAGGGATTCATCTAGGACGGTGGAATTAATATTTGATAAACCCAATGATTTTTAAAATCGACTGATAAAATTTCGTATGTCATATTTTAAACGGCACCGTTTTTTGTAGGCTGGAAGTTTTTGCAATTAAGCATTTACTGCTTCTTATTGCTATTTTATATTAGAAGACGAGTTATAAATTATTTATTTACATTTAGGGTGTTCTTTGGGTTATGGCATACAATGCAATAAATGTATTTAAAATTTAAGAGATTTTGATGTTAAAATATCTTTAAAATAAACATTATGTGTAATATATTAACATTTATAATAAAACCTATAATTATAGATTATTTAATTTGTAATAAATATATAAATAATAAACATTAATATTAACACATAAGTATTCATAATGTTGTATAAAAAACAATAATTATAGATATTAATTTAATAAATGTTGTATTAAAATTTTAATATAGTTTTTATTTGTAGTAAGATTTAATACCATTTGGGGTCATCCGATTATAATAGTTCTGTCACATTTAGTCTTAAATTTTCAATCCACGACATGATGCTATTTTTTGTAATTGTCATTATTGATTATCTTACAAAAATTGTAGGGAACAATGATAGTTTAAGTGTACGCAATAATGTGTATATGCTCCCATAAATATCATTACTCACCTTAAATATCAATTCTTATTTTAATTCTAAATATTTATAGCAAAATTTATAAAAGAATAAATATCATATTCCCTTTTTATATATGAAATTTAATAACATTAATAGTTCTTTTAATAATATAACATGATTTAAATATTTCAAATATTTAGTCCGTGCAATTGACATATTAGTTTTCTTAAAAAAAACAGAAGAAGATTTAAAACAAAAAAAAAAAAAACAAAACAAAAAAAACAAAAAACAAAAAACAAAAAACAAAAAACAAAACAAAACAAAAAAAAAAAAAAGATGTGGGCAATAGTCATGATAGGCAAAAGATACAATAATGGTCTAAGAGACAAATCTTCATGATATATTCCCACTACTAGCTCTAGATCCACACTAGCTTTCATTCACTATTACTTAGCTTTCTGCTTTTCTTGGCGGTGACGGAGACATACTCCGAATTTTTCAATTCACTCAATGACTTTCCAAGTTGTCTTTCATATTCCTTTACAAGTTCAAACCTGAAAAATGATGAGAGGCCGGTGAGATGAAAATATTTAATATCCTATAGAAAAAGTAGTTGTAATTGAATAATTTAATTACCAATATGCTAAGCAATGGAAAGGACTGTAAGTCTCATAAAGCATTTTGATATTGGATGCAACACTTGTTTTGGAGCAATCTTTAATTCCATGAAACTATATATCAAAAACCGCAAATTAAGTAATTATAGAATGCATTGTATTATTAATCTCACGTTAAAAGAATATCTAAATATATATATACCTCTTTCAAGTGACGAATGGTCTCGGTGTCACAAGGGATGAACTGATAGCAGCCAAGACACATCATGATATTGGCACTAGCAAAGTTGGAAACTCCTTTTATTGTTTCAAGGGATGCCATGATTTGTGTTATATTTTTGGTATTCTCATTTATCATCATCTCATATTTTTGTAGTGGAAGTTTCCCATTGACAATGCGTTGAGCAAGGCAAAAGATGAAACGGGCTCGAAACCCCAAATTGCAGAATTTGTTAAGCTCATCACTTCCACTTAGCCGTGCAATCTCCTCACAGCTTGGAAAGTTTCCTAAGCTATTGCATGCTTGTACTACTGATGATCGTTTCCTTTTCAATTTTCTTCTACCATTTCTCTTTACAAGAACACCTTTGTCAAGCTCATATTGAAACTTGCAAAGCGCTTTAGCCATTTCTAGTGATCGCCCCCAACTACATATATATAATATATTACGGATCGGAGTAGTATATATATATATATATTAAAGATCCAATTGAAGATCAGAATATATAATTACTTACTTGCAATTACAAAGAAGAAGAGTCTTGACAATATCTTCAAAGAGTGAGGGAGAGCGAAACAAACGACCAAATCCTTGGTTTCTTGCGTCTAGGTGTAACTTATGGAATTCTTGTATGGCATTTTCATCTCCAACAGACAATCTAAACATTCTCGCCACCTGAGCCTACATACACATATATATATGCACGTGATGACTACATATGTAAATATTGATAATATATATATGCATTATGTATGTAGCTAGGTACATAATTAAATATATGTATATATACCTTGATGGCATGTTGATCTTGAGGAGAAAGTAGAGTTGCATGATGAATTTTGAGAAGGAGATGTTGATTTTGTGTTGGTGGTTGGGAGACGGAAACGATGAGAGAGAGAGAGGTGGTGAGGCGCAATGGGCGAGTGAAGGTTTTGGTTAGAGTGTCCCAATGGTTTGGAGCCATCATGAAGAAGCCATGATTACATACTGCTTTCTCCAACTGGAACCTATTGCTATTCACCCCATAATCACTCAACCTCATATGCAAAAAACAACAACTACCCGCTGACCTTACCATCATATTACCGCCCTCAATCTTCACTTCACTTCACCTCGATCTATATATATATTGTAGAATCTAGCTTGTTAATTAATTAATGACCTAGCCATAATAATATATTAAAAGTAATGCAAAATCAGAGCTACACTTTATCAAGTAGTATTAAAAAATAGTAGCCTAGATCATAATAACTCACTCTCTGGATCGACCCATATATATAAGCATGCAATGTGATGAATCAACAATTATATTTTATCCATCGAAAAGATGAGATAGATTAAGCTAAGTTCCAAATTCGAAAAGATATATTATTAATGATGGAAGAAAAGCAACAGTCGTTGGTCGTACCAATACATGCAAATGATCTGTTTAGATTTGTAAAACAGTAGGTACAGCTCAAGAAGGGTGCCTAGCTTTCTACATAGTACATACATACCCTACGTAATAAGAATAATAAACTTAGCTTAATGGTAACCATGCATTTAAAATCAGTACAAATTAAAAGGCTTACCATTATTATTATTATTTTCTTTACCAAAAAAAATTATTATTATTATTTTAATTTTAATTTGAATTTTAATTATTTTATGGATATGGATAATGAATAGTTACCAATTAAAACAAAATGCTAATAACTAAGTAGGTAGAATCGGTAAATGGAATCGGCAAGATTTTAATGCAAATAAAAAAAGCCAATTCAAAAATGCATTAAAAGCAAACTATATATATATATATATATATATATATATATATATATATATATATATATATATATATATATATATATATATATATATGCGTCTCTTCAATTCCTTGGCGATCGAACACTGAAAAACGCATTGCATTGCATTGCTTGCATGCAGCAACTAATATTAATAATAATTAACACCGTATAGTATAGTACGTACCGGTAAACTAGCTAACTGCTCCAGCCCCAAAAAACCGTTCCATTATATTGCTGATTTCCCATATGGCGGCGGCGGGCGCTAGCAATCATATCGTCACAAACCAAATGCCGCGTGCATTCTATTATTATTATTTACGGTTACCAATTCCATGCATCATGGTGGAATTGAAATTAAAGAGGTGATGCATGGTACATACTGTGCTTCATCAGCTCTTTTATTATTATAATCCAAATAACAACTACGGAGTATAAATTACAGTTTGAAAAGTATTTAATTTGGCATGATTATTATGAATTTAAATAAAATCTTGGGCGATGCATGTCATGCCTGTACTCAAAACAATACATACCTCAACAGGGACATGGCCGGACAGCACCCACTAGTGAATTCCGGTGAGACACCAATATAATTAGACAAAAAAATATAATGCAAGCATTCAATAAGTGATTTAGTAGGCAGTGTGGGAATTGATTTTAAGAAATTAATATTAACAATCAATTTACACCATATCACCTAAAAAAAAAAAAAAAAAAAGTAAAGGCTTCCATAAACAAATATACACATTCACACAGTTAAAGAATATGATAGCATGCATTATTATGTAGTTAATTGTTAACTCTCTTTTTTTTTTTTTTAATTCTTTTGTAGGAAAATCCGAATGTTAAAGAATTTTAATTTGCAATCCACTATGAATCCTCACCCAAAGCAATTTGTGAATGATGAAGAAGGGAATAGAGACATTGAGGATGATGATGATGATAAAGAGAATATATATACAAGTAGGGAAGATGAGTATGTATGAAAATTATGATTCTATTCTTAGATGAGATGAGGAAATAAACAAAACATGCATCATATCGCTTCTAAACCGTACCCATTCATAAATAATTTGATATACATGAAAATGGAAGAGCCTAGCTAATAAATCTAATCATTTTGCTTACACACAAGCAGCAAGCTAAGCTTGCGGTAAGTCTTCAACAAGTACAGAAGGTTGAAGAAGAAGAAGAAGAAGAAGAAGGATCAGCTAGCTAATTAATTAAGCAGCACGTACTGCAGCAGTGGAAGTTTGGCAAATTAAAACAAGCTTGAATTGTCAGATCCAAATTAAAACAAAACATGCAGCGAGCTGAGCAATACAATTCTCGCTGGCTCATCACCTCACTGCATGCACTTAATAATTTGAATTCATGGAAACAGGACTACGGCAATAGAAGACAACTTCTTATGGCTTAACCGAAGCTCTGGAAGTCTTGTCGTCTGTCTTGGAGCATTTGGTGCTTCCAATTCAACTGAATCCTCATCGTCATCGAGCAGCTGGTGGTTGGTTTTTGTGGGTGTACTATACTCAAAATGCCATTTCTTAGCGATCATTGTCACTTCTCGAATGGTCTTGGACACATGAAACAGCCTGCTCAAATCATCATGATCAACCCCCAATATTATCCTAACCACAACATCTGTAGGCAAGGATTCCAGAGGAGACAACCACATCTCACAACTGCAATGCTTCTTTGTTTCTGTGCCTCGCCCTCCGGTATTCAAATCATCCATCTCCTCTAATTCTAACTGTAAACCACTTGGAATTGACACCACCACCCTTTTCCTCCCAAAACACTGCCTCTTCACTATCCCTTCGCCCTTCTTCTCCAAACTCATTATCTCTTCCAACATTTTCTTTACCCTCTCTGTCTTGGATTTCTTTCCAATTCAACCCGGCCCCTTTAAATAATTAAAACAATTCAATACAATCTTCGTCTTAGTTCTGTGGTATATATATATATATATATATATTTACTTTCCAATATTAACACATGCAATGCAATGACCCTCCTTTATTGTTTGAATTTATTTCAGACTTAAATGCTCTTTTTAGCTTCCTCACCACGTTTCTTCTTTAAATATAATCTTTAATCTTTATTAAATATAATAAAGCTGGAAATAAAAATGGGGAAAAGGTTCCCCACCAATATAAACGATCGATATGATATCGTATTGTGACTTATGGGGATTTGAAAGTGATTTTGTTAAATATTGGCGTTTCACAATACGACTTTTGGCTTTACCATCTCCAACATTTATTTGATTATCCAATTGTTTGCCATTTATTGTAAGATCCAATTGCATTAACTACTATATGGGCGGAGTGAAAGTCTTGATTAGGGGATCAAATTTATACTTCGTATAAAAAATTTATCATGTTACTTCACATTAATTAATACCCATCATACAATATTATTATATATATCATATCATATATGATTGTGCCCATTATTATTCATAATTATAATTAAGGTTATCAAATATTACTTTCGAACTTTTCACATAACACAAAATTTATATAATAGTAAAAAATAAGGAAAATTATAACTTTTATCAATAAGTTATAGGGTAATTGTAGAATTCGTCTCTAATTGTTGTTTGTTCTCACTCTTCGTCCCTAAGATATACTCTGTAATTGATGTTGCAAATTTCGTTACTTTACTAACAAAACATTAGGGATGAAATTTGCAATGTTAGTATAGCTTATGGACAAAGATTGAGCACAACTTATATTATTAAAATGAAGAAATTTACGACATCAATTATAACTTAGGAACAAGAAGTGAACACGACAAACAATTATATATGGACGAATTATACAATTACCGTATAACTTATGACGAAAATTTGTAATTTTTCCTAAAAAACATTTACATTTACTTAAATATACATTGTCACTCTTTTTATTCTTTTATCAAATAAAAAGTTGTCAATTGTTTGATCAACAACAATTTTTTTGATAATAAATTAATATTCATTTTACTGACTAATTGCATATATATTTCAAAATTTAAGCGATGAGGACAAAACCAATATCACAAAATAAAGAATCATTATTAATTTTTGTAAGGTTTAAAGCTAATCATTTAACCTAGCAAATTTACATCTTAAAAGTGTAAATAAATAATAAAAACATACAATAAGTTATCAACTAATTAGGCTATGTTTGGCAAATCTAGTTGAAAGCTGAAAAACTATAAGTTATGAGCTGAAAACTGATCGAAGAGTTGTTATGCTTGAAAGTGTTAGGTAAAATTAACTTTTTGATAAGTTGATAAATGTAAAAAGACAAAAAAGGACATCTTCATAAAATTTAGATTAGTTTGTTTACATATTAAAATTTAACATTTTGAAATAAAATTATTAGCATAATCATGATCTAACATCTCATAATGAAGTAACAATATTGTTGCGAATCTCCTTCATATAATGATAATAATAATAATAATAATAATAATAATAATAATAATAATAATAATAATTATTATTATTATTATTATTATTATTATTATTATTATTGTTATTATTATTATTATTATTATTATTATTATTATTATTATTATTATTATTTGACCAAAGTTTATGTTAAATTTCATAGGAATAAGTTTATGTTCCGGCCATGGAGACGAATAAAATCTTCGTCTTCAGCCATGGCTGTGGAGACAAAGAAATCGACCGAAGACGAAGAAGGTTTCTTCGTCTCCGGCCGGAGTCTTTTTTTTTTTTAATTTAAATATTTAATTATTAAACTTTATTTTTTAAAAAATAATTAATTTGGGATGATGACATGTTGACCTGTTGGAAATCTTCAAATTGAAATAATTGTTTGAAATTAGTTAGTTTAGTGACCTAATTGTTTGTTTTTTTAGGTTCAGTGGCCTAATTGCATTATCGTGTGCAGTTTGATGGCCTATTTGACCCTTATTCCAATTTTATATTGTATTTTTTAATATATTTTAACATATTCATAATATATGTTTAACAATCAAGCCAGCTCTAATTGGGATGTGGTTCGAACCTAAAACCTTTCTTATATAAATTAATGAGTATGTTGAGAATAATAAATAGTTAACGGAATATTCCGTTATTAAAGTTTATACTAACGGAATTTAGAGTTATTTAAGGAAATAAAATAATATAATAGAGGTTAAATAAGGAAAATCATTAAAAGATACTAAAATCAAAATAATATGAACCATTCATTTTAAGAAACAACTACTACCGACATTTTTTTTTTTGTTCCAGTTAGGGGCCTAACATTATTGGCTCTTATTAGATTTGTAGATATATATATTAGGGTTCCAATGAGAACACTTGCTTAGGTGAGAACGTGAGAACAAATCGTGTGCATCCATATAATATTTTTTAATGGATACACACGATTTGTTCACATGTTTTCACCTAAGCAAGTGTTCTCATATGATCATATATATATATATATATATATATATATATATATATATATATATATATATATATATATATATATATATATATATATATATATATATATGCATGTGTGTATTATTGATAACATTATAGTAAATTGATCAATACCTAAAATATAACCCTTAATTTAACAAGTGAATTGAATATTATATTCCACAATTCAAACCAAACACATAAGTTAATACCAAAAGCCCTTGATTAGTATATACAAAATGAACTTTATGTCACCGATACCTTCAAAGGTGGACCATAGTCAATAATATAATGATTGTCATTTGACGACTGTATTCATTTGAAGATTTTTATTCAATATTTAATTAATTAAAAAAAAACACTCGTACTTTAACCCACATGGGCATCTTAACTAGTCATAGAGGTGAAACTTTGGAGGAATGACTAGAGATCGAGTCTCACAAGCGGTAGTGTGGGAGCAACCTCGAAAGTGAGGGAGGGGAGTTCCTTGTGCGCAGTGAGCAAAGATTCAGTCACTGTCATCGAACGAAATTTCACCTGGCAGTTGAGTTGTGATTTTAATAGTAAAACGACGTGGCCACCCCATCGTTTAATTAATTCTTTTTTTTAATTTTTTCAGTTTTTTTAGATTAATTATTAAAATTTGTTAAAATTTATTTAAAAATTATTAAAATGCCAACTCAGCTGCCACGTAAGCAAGTAATATGTTAAAATTGATGGTAACCTTCTATATGGTGAAATTGCATACATTTGGAGTGTTCAGTGGCCTAATTGCACGTTTTTTGCGTGTTCAATGGCCTAATTGTAATTTTTTTCGTTCAGTGCCCCAATTGCATTTTCATGTTACGTTCAGTGGTCAATTTGAACCTTATTCCATTATATATTCTTACAAAATGGTGCAATTGTATATACTATTAAGGACAATATAGTAAATCAATCCATATAACTTAAAATATAACTCTTACCCGACAAACCAATATTATATTACACCATCCAAACTAAACACAACTACACAAGGTAATATCAAAAGGTCCCTTATCTCTACAAATCTAATAAGAGGCAATAATGTTAGGCCCATAACATGCACAAAAAACTGTTGGTGTAATTGTTTATTAAAATGTTGGCACAAATAAGGTCATATTATTTTGACTAGTTTTTTCTATGCTCGATGCGCAAAAACATATGCCTAATATTTATATTTTTAAAAATAACTAACAAATCCTTAGTAATTAAAATCTATATGAAACCAAATTTATTTGTTATATTAATCCAATATATAATATGTATAAAGAATATGAGAAAATATATGGTGGATGCAAGTGCATGATAACAATAATGGAAAATATAACGGAAGTTATATCGGTAAGGAGTATTTTTGTCCAAAAAAGTATATAGTACAACTCTAAAAGCATAATGTACAAAATGATTAGCACTAAAAACATTGATATAACTTTGATTGAGACTTATTATGTTTTTATTTTATTTAGATTTTAGTATTTTTTTTATGATTTTTCTTATTTACCCTCTCTTATATTATTTTATTTCCTTAAATAAAACTGCAGTCTGTTAGTATAAACTTTAGTAATGGAATATTCTGTTAACTATTTATTATTCATAGCTTACTCATTAATTTCTATAAAAAGGTCTTAGGTTCAGACATCTTCCCAATCAGAGTTGGCATAATTGTTAAACATATACTACGAATATGTTAAAATGTATTTAAAAATTACAATATAAAATTTAACATAAACTTTGGTCAAATAATTAGTCAAACTAAATACATAGCATTCAAAGTTGAGGTGCATTTTCTAAAGGATTGACAATGTTCGGCATCTCACGGGCTCCTATTGAACAAGTTTATACATTTCTTAGAATTTTATCAATGCATAAAAACTTCTAAATAAATTTGTAAGTTAAATTTTAATATATCATTATAACAATATCTATTGTAACCATATATTTCTAATTATTTATTATCATCATTTATTGATAGCAATTGTAGCAATTGTCATTGACAAACTCTCAAAATAATTTGTATCAACAACAAATGGAAGTAAAAAAAAAATTAATGACTTCATTGTTTTGGATGAAAAATATGCACGTCACTTATTACTCTTATTAAATTAAATAAATTAGTAGCTACAATACAAAATAATACATATATACATTTAATTAATTTATAATTAGATGTCTATACTGTCTTTATTCAAAAAAAAATTCATTATAAAAAATTTAAAAAGATATATAATTCCATTAATTATTTACCATTCAAAAGTTCATTACCTTCAACTGCATTTTTTTTTTGAAATACTCTGAATTATTTACAAGGTAGTATCTGTTCTGTTCTATATTTTCTCAAATATTTTCCATTATCTTCCTTTTACATTATCTTGTAATTAAATATCAAAGTTATAATACAAAATATACTA